ATGTTGTTCTTCTTATCTTGTTTTCAAGTAACCAATCATTAAAAATAATCAGGGATAATTTCCAATGTACTCTTTCTTGACGATTCCTCCCTGTATTGGTTAGTTATCTTATTCAGTAATGTCTGATATCAGTTACAGTTGAATAGTTCGAAAGTTTCCCTTTTATATGTTTTCCTTTCATTATTCTAAAGTTTGTCAATGTTTTGGTCTTACTTTATGTGACCAGTGATCAAAGGCCAGTAAATAAATGCATGTTTGAAATGCATACCTCCTCTCAAAGCGACCTGCCACGAGGCTTCTTACCAAGTTTCTAACTAGCCTTTAATCATGGTGCACTCCGGGATCCTGTCATGTAATCGACAGCCAGTGGGTCCATCACCTCGATGGGATGGTGCACTTATCTAATGCACTGGCACATGGAATGCTGGGTAAACACTTTCTCAGAGGCCTGTCAGTGTCACCTTGACGTCCATGCAGCCAATCCCTCTTTTGCAACGCCAGAGAGATCATTAGTCCTCCCCCATTTCTGTCTCTCTCCTTATTTCTTTCATGCACACTTTCGTTTTCTGTAACAAATGTAGCAGGAGTCTGTTTCTGTCTAACTTTCCTGCTCACTTTGCAGTCATTCCTGTGTTCTGTGTTAAATATTAGTAACCATTCCTTGTAGCGGTCACACATCGCTCACACTTGGCTGTCATGTCTGCTCCCATTGTCTTTGTTTGATGAAGGAGACGCTGTTTGTGGAACGATGATTTAATTGACTTTGTGTAGTGGCTTTGAGTGAAGTGGCAGTGATGGACAGATGGCTGGGAAAAGAAGCTTTGGTTCCAGCCAAGAATGAGTCATGCCAAGCTTGAAACTGCAAGCACACTCGCTCAGCCTATTGTCAGCCCACTGTAGTCAACTACAGTCTGTCTGCCTGAGCTGTAGATGGCTTGGCATGAGCAGTAATCTTCCTTCTTCAGCAGGATATGAGTTACAGTACGGTATACTGACCACAGTATCTCAGTTTTACAGTGATTGCATCTTAGAATTTATGTTGTGGTTACTTGTTCGTTAAGTTAGCAGACTGCACAATAAACTGCTGATTTTTGATTCCTTCTTTAAATAACTTTTATCTTGGCTTTGCTTTTTAGGATCAGCAGTGCCCCCTTGCCCTCCAACTTTTAAGTGTTTGTTACTCATTTCTGATTGGATATATTTGCAACTATATCTTACACAATTGCCACATTATCCCATCAGCAAAATATGCAATTAGTGCTAGGTTTTAAAAAAAAAAAGCCTGGCAGATGAATAAATGAGCCTGGGTAGATGCACTTTTAGTTCATCAGTTCATGACAAAATGCTGTCGGTCTCACCCAACTGAGATTTAAACTGGCATAATGAGTGGTCTCACGGTCGTTATTTCACTAATCTGCATATATACAATTAAATTGCCATCAGTGGAAGTACTAAAAGATAGAAATAACTCATATGGCAAGAAACAAACACATTAATAATCCAGAACTGTGACAAAGTCGTTGTAAAGTGGGATGAAGGGCCCAAAATAAACAAAACAAATACCAGCACAGTGCTTTGCCAGCTGTTGATGAGTCACTGAAGGCACATGACAATTCTCTTCATCCTTCAACAACAGAGTCAAGGAAACCCAAGCCGCTGAAAATCTCAAGAGAGAGAGAGATGAGAGATAAAAGAAGCAGAGTAAGAGGTCAGGATGGAATCAGAACGAATGGGAAAAGGTGAAATGAAGTGCAAACAGGGAAAAGGAATGTGAGAGGATATTTAGGAAACCAGGAGAACAAGGGACATGAGTGCAGACATGAGTGAGAGTGCAGTGCTGAGCTTGAGAAAGAATCGAGAGTAAAACTGGTAAAACTAACTAAAAAAAGGCCAGCGTGAGCACTTTATAGCCTGCTTAAATAGACTCCATGTTCTGCATGACTAAAGCTCTCTTTTTTCCATAGTGGACATGTACTGTATAGAGTAGTAGCAGCAGACTCTAAAAATGAAAATAGAAGCTCTCGGATCATCAAGAGATTCCCTGGTGTAATGGCTTCACCCAGCGTAAGTGATTGTGTCAGATAAAAGAGGCAGCAACAACTGACTCAGCTTCCTCTTTCACTGTGGATATTTCCACTGTGATTTGTATGTTCTAGTGTAATGATCTCCATCCTGTCGCTCCATGTAGAGGTCAGCGGCAGTCTTGCAGCAAGTACCTCGGTCTAAATAAATCAATAAAGGTGATGTAGATATTTAAGGACCTCTCAATTCCCCACCTCGCCTTTTACCCATTCTGTGTGCTGCTTTTAAACAGCCACCCCTGAAACGAAACCTGTTCTCTGTCCCGAGTCTAAAGCCATTTAAGCAGCTCTAAATCTCTGTATTAAATTTTGTGGCACAAGTTGACCAAAAACTGATGATTTCATTTCATTAAGCATTTTGAATTTCAGTCTCAGTTTTGCACTTGATATGATGTCAGGACCTAACTGGATACTGGATACTTCTTGTGGGAAACATAGATGTCGGTAGCAATTTTTGCAAACCATTCTAGTCTGTGTTGTGACAACTCGCAGCATAAATGAAAATACTTGACCTGTTGGGAATAGTCTCGGCACAGTACTAGCATTTAACTTCCTCAAGCAATGCTATTTAGTACTCAAGTGTCTCGTATCATATTTGGTGGCAAATGTGATGTGATATGTGGCTTTTTGCAGAGCATCAAACTGCTGCGCTCGCTCAGATGTTTGTTAACGGTACACCGAATTTTCACCTCCTTTTGACGGTGACGTGCTCACCCAGTCCGCTGGGTGAGCCCAGATAGAAAGAGAGTACTTCTCCTTATGGATCAGAGCGACACCATACTGCTGTTAGATTATTATTAGTGTCCTGTGTGTGGTGACACAGTGCTGTCAGTATCAGAGGTCAGGCGTGTCGGGCAGCCGGAGGCTTGTTCTGTCGCTGCAAGTTTCCATCAGAGCACAGCCTTCACAACTCCACCAGCCTCCTCCCCGGGCTCCACAGCTCCACGTTCAGAGCATCTGTGCCCTGCCCTTAGAGCTCTGCGGGCCAGTGTCAAGCCACCAGAACAAAACATATGTGACCCTCGCATGATTTCATAGTGCTGTGGACTGGTCTACTGAACTGCTGCATTTGAGGATATGTCATGTTACGAAGGTTCTTATGACACCTTTTCTTTTAACTCTGACTGTGCACTGGCTTTTGTTTTGTCCACCCTTTCTGTTCATTTGGTTCTAAACTATAATCAGCCTGGTTAAGATAATTGGCATTAACAATATAAAATTGCATTAATTATCCTTCAGCGTTTTCCTTTGTGTACAGAGAGTCATGAAGTGCCTGTATTGGAAAGACCTTAAGAAAATGGATTCCTGTCATTTGTTGCTTTTGATAAACACCAATGATTAGCATGTCATTCAGAGACCTACAGTTAGTGCTCCTCAGGGAGTCACTTCACTGGCCGGTTTAAATCGCTCGTCCCACAATTTGACCCCTGACTCAAATGAGCACAGTCTCCTGACAGGTCACACTGACACGCATCGTGTGTCAGCAGAGCAAAAAAAAATCATTCTGAATAATCCTTCTGCAGGGTTTAACTTCTGCTAGTCCTATATGAGGATGGGAAATTTTTAATTAACGTTGTAATTATTCTCATTTGTCCTTTGTGGCTTTGCAGTGCTCTGCTCACATGTAATGAATCAGCACTGATCTGACAGGAGAGGATTTAGAGCAGCTTTCACCTCACAATCCCTGCTGCTGAGAGCAGAGGGAAGAAGACATAATTAAAAAAGATACAGTATATTAAACTTACTTCAGCATAATGCATACAGTGCAGTGCTAATTATTCTTCTTATTTTCTTTCTATAAAATGTCCAAGGTGGGCATTTGCTCCACAGATTAAAGTCCACAGATATTGATCTTTAGAAAGTGTGTACAAAAACACCTCAGACAAGAAGTTATACAGAGAAAACACGCTGCACTTGTTTCATTAATGTTGAAAACACTATTTTTTTTTTTTTATCTGTTTTGTTTTGTTTTTTAGACTCACAGGAAATATGAACATCGACATGTTCAACATGATTATCTACAAGCCTGCTCCTTAATTCCTCTAATTTCTTAAATAAAAAGCCAAGTGGTTCAAAGGCAAAGCTTCTTTTAGGGACTCCCTGAGCAGCTGACCTTGAAGTAACAATGATGCAGAAAATACCCACAATTAAAAAGCTGATAACAACAAATTTCTGGCATTTTTGCTTTGAAATGAAAATGATGAACTGACTGCCAGAGTAGTTTGTTTTCTCTCAGTTGATTATATGATAACTTCCAGCTCTACCAGCAGTTTTGTTTAGCTTTTTTTGCTTTGCTCGTGTTGAAATTCTTGAGTGTTTGTTCTGATGTGTTGCACTGATGTGTTGAAATGGTAACTGGCTGGTTTCTTCCATGCAAAAATGTGCTTCTTTTCTCTTTTCATTACATCATTATGAAATATCCATGTTGGGTTTGAGGACTGCATTGTCTTTGTTTTTGTCTTCTTTTGTTTGGGTTTTTGTTGTTGTTGATAAAACCAGCAGAATTTTGCTTTTCCAGAGGAGGGAGTACAACAAGTTTGAGAGATAATGCAAGAATAGATATGAAAGTAATTAAAGATGCTGTTTTAATGATGCATTTGCATTCTGACATGTACTTTGGATCCTTCCTGAAAAAATTATGAGGTGACATCAGTTTCAGCAGCTATAAACAGCTCATCACAGTGTGAATGTAGTGCGTTTGCACGTAGAAGACAGCACGGTGCACGGTTGGCACATAAACATTGTCCATATAGCGCATGCACTGCCCAGCACTGTTCACTGCAGAGACACAAGGAGCAGATGGACTGACTGTGAGGGGTAACTGAAGGAAAAAAATAAGAGAGGAGTGACAGAGGAGGAGGAGGAAGAGGAGGAGAAGGGGTGGGTAGAGACAGAGATAGAGAGGCAGAATCACTGAAGTATTACAGGAGGGCTTGTGAAGGGGAGTGAGCAAGACAAATACTGACAGGCTGAGACACAGAATGAGAAAGGGAGAGCTTCCAGCACCTTAAAGGCAGCAGCAGCAGCTTCATTAGCATCAGGAGGAGAGTCGGTCACATGCAGCCACACCGGGACTCATGTAGATAAACCGCTTTTACCCATCGCTTATGGAGCAGCAGCACAGGGAGTCTACAGTGGAGGAGGACAACAAGGCTGGAGCCAGAGCTTTAAGGAGAGGATGAGAAGCATCACTGCAACCTGACTCACACCGGGAGTCAGCCTCAGCACCTGCAGCGGCAGACTGAGCACTCCGGCTATCAAGGAGACTGGGGCAGACGGGGAGAGAGCTGCTGAGATTATGCGCGGGGCAGAGAGCTCCTGTGGATTCCCCATCTTTGGCAACAGCAGCAGCAGCAGAGGGGGCAGGAGCTGTGGCTCTACAGTCAGCAGCCGAGCTAGCTGGAGCTGCAGAAAAACAGGAAGCTCTAAAGCAATTCATTTATCCAGAGATGAAGGTAGCACTTACAGCCAAGGTGTAACAGGAACCAGCTGTCGATGTAGCCACAGTGTTGAATGTACCTGTAGCCAGAGCAGTGACGGTAGCTGCAAGGTGACCACAGCAGTGCAGTCAGGTGTAATTGTAGTAGTAGCAGGGGGGCAGTGGCTCAGGACCCTGAATGACCAGTGTGGCTGATGAAGGCCACCTGGATCCGCTTGCTGAAACGAGCCAAAGGAGGTCGTGTCAAGAGCTCCGATGCCTGTGTAAGGGGACTTTTGAGTGTGCTTACATCATGAAAATCAGTGTGTTCTGTGTGCGTGCACTTGTGTTTGGTGCGTCTGTGCTTCCTTCATCCATCCATCTATCAGTCAGCAGTGCTGGGGTCACTCTGGCATTGTTATGTATTGCCTGGTGATGATGAGAAGTTGGGTGCTGTTATCAGTTATGGCTGTCAGATTCTGGGCAGAGCTCCATATCACCTCCCTCTGACCTACTGGGACGGTGTTCTCGATCACACTTCATCTTTAATCATGACCTGAATAGTGATAGCAGTCCAGGTATGCTCACCTGCACTTTTCAAGTAAAAAAAAAAAAGGTTTATGTGCATTAAATAATAGTTATAGGCCATGATAAGGAGCAGCATTTTCCAAAGAAGTAATTTATACTGTAGGTAAAAATGTTTTGAAAACCACAGGTGGATTGAAAGCAAAAGAAGCCAATACAGCCAATACAATCTAGCTAATTAACGTAGTTTAAAATGAGCTGTTTATTTCAGGTGAGAGGGATGAGAAACAGAGAGGTGATTGATGTAAAGAAGGGCTTTGTCATAGATGGAGGAGATACATTTTAATAACCTTGTTTTATCGACAGCAACAAAACTAGTCTATTTACTATAGCGTAAGTGGAGAGGAGGCACAATCATCCTTCGTATGTATGTGATGGCTGGATAATTCTAATCATGCACAGAGTGAGGAAGGCTATTTTTAGCTCAGACAGAAACAGAGTGTAATGGTGCAGTGAGATGAATGAAAGACCTTGTGTGGGTGTCAGAGAAGCGTGCAGGTAAGGATAAGACTCATGCTGTCTTCACTTAGTTAAGAAAAAACCCTGTTTTTATCCTGATAATTACCTGAAACTGGAACAGATTTGATGTTGATCTGCAAGCGCAATATTTTTTTAATACCCACAAATAAGATAACAAAACTTTTTATCTCATATTTGTGTTTTTCATCTGTACGTCTGGATTTATGCCAGCATAAATGTGGCTACTAATTTCATGAAAATCAAATCCAAATTAACACATTTTATGAATGCATTATTTAATAAATTATGGAATAGAAGAGTATAATTTCAAAGAAAAAGTCAATATATATAGCAGCTTATTCTGCTTCTCACTGGTTGATGTTTTTTTTCTATACTTTAACTGATTTTGACAACATTTCCAAATGTCCACGACAGCTGACGTTAGGAGCGTGGCTATATCAAAATTGAATTAACATGTGTGTATCAGAAACTATATATTCCAGCTTGTTGTGGCTTCCACGATCAGTTTGCTGCTGCTATGCAGCTGTGTTTGATGTGCTGTGAAGTGATTTGTGTTGCACTGCTTCAACGAAGGGTGCTTTAAAACAAGTAAAAAACTGCTATAATATCAAAATCAGGGCTATATTTGTTCTAAATATTAATTTGGGGGAATAAGACTCCATTCTGGATCTCCTCCCATGAAACTATAATCTCCCTCTCATGATTTGGTGTGGCTAATCTACTTGTGAATGACACGTGTTCCAAAATAGGTTCTATTCATATAAAGGTAATTTTTAACAAATGGTTGACTTAAAAAAACATGTCATGTGTTTTTTTTCTTCCTCTCATGCTTCTAATAACTTTCCCAAATGTCAGAAACCATTTTTTTCATGGTTGTATCTGTGAACATTTTTTAAGTGTAGAAAAAAAAAGTGTGCCCATCTGTTAGATAGTTTACTCAGTAAGCCTGAAAACTTTGCTTTTTCTTTTCCTTTACCAGAGTGTTCTAACTATGTGTTATAGCATGCAAGCACTGCTTTATCTTCAGTAATTATTTATTGTATGCGTGCGTTTTCATTCAGCATCTAACAACTTGCTGTATATAACGTCTGGTGTAATGGTATGCGCTCAGTGCGCTGTTCCCAGGAGTGTATGCTAGGTAGTCTTGTGTGCACTGGTATGTGTGAGTCTGCATGTTTATGAGTAGATTTGTGGCAACCACATATCACACAGACATACCGGGATCTGGTGTTCCTCAACATTTCCCCCAGTGTTTGACACAGAAAGATGACAACAAATCTGCAGGCAAGCAGCTAAGAGAGAGCTAAGTATAGACAAGGAGCTGCTATGATGTGATCGTAAGAAAGACAGTTTGTGTCCTTTGGCACTTTGTCTCAGAAAAAAGTGTCAATGATTTTCTGTAGATTAGACCAGCACAGCCTTCCTTTGTGCTCAGGATCTGATGAAATCAACTGAGAATCCTTTGAGTTTAACACGTCAGTCTGTGCGGGGGTGTTCGCACATTTCTAAGTTGCACAATCTCCAAAGTTTAACGTTTCATCAAAGAACGAGGGGAGCGAAAAGCAAATCGTTTTGCTCGGTGTCCTCAAGATGCTAAGAATCACAGCACGTCTTGGCTGATAAAACCGGTCATTTTTAAAGTGTGAAACCAAATGGACAAGCTCGTGTTTCCGTGCTGTTGTGTCACTGAGTTTTTACTCCTTGTGTCTTCTGCAGGGTTCGGCCGACTCCTACACCAGCCGTCCATCAGACTCCGATGTGTCCCTGGAGGAAGATAAGGAGGCAGTCCGCAGAGAGGCAGAGCGACAGGCTCAGGCACAGCTTGACAAGGCCAAGGTTGGTATTCTAAACCCTGAGGTCAGTGACTACCTACTAGCCTCAGTAACAGCAGTTTGTCATCAGCATTTTATAAGTTGCACCAAGTGGGATTTCCAAATGTGAGGAGAGCAACCAACACGAGTTTGTGCTTCTCCGTGATGTCGGTGTTTGAGTTGAAGGCACCAGGACTGGTTTTTAGGTGCTGGTGAAGGTACCTCTCACTAAGAAGACTTCTTTTCTTCTAAAAGATGATGGGAATCCAAGTTGTTTATCTTGTCGTGGGATTGTCACGATGGATAGGACATGATTGAGTCATTGTGAAAATATTTGCCCTCAAAAGAATTTCCCCTTTCCTGTAAGTGCAAATACACAGCTGACTCCTGTCCTGAAGAGGTGGTTCTCCAGTGTTTTGCAATACACCTGTGAAGTTGTCTGGTTTCTCCTTTGTATTAGTCCAAGGACTCCTCACAGCATTGCTCAGCTTGTTTTTTCTCGGTTTTGGGATGAACCAGTTTTTGTCTGAGGGTTTTGCTGGGACTGAAGGTCACTAGCATGTTATGCTTGGACAAACGATTATTCTGTGTTTCTCAGTCAAAGTCAGACGTTTTCTGAGAATCTTGTGAATAACTTGAGAACAAGGTGGCATAGTATTTTGAAATCAGTACCATAGGTGGATCTACTAGGAGACTGAGAGGTAGGGCTGGTGGCTGCCGGTATTTATTTCCATGTCTCTTGGCTGACTTGATGAAGGCCCAGTTTGGATTGCCACATGTTTTAAGTGCTCTTTTGATGTGTGTTTGTTCCTTTTCTTTTCTCTCTGCCTTGAAGGGAACATTCTCTGCTTGGTGGTGTTTGTGTTCCAGTGGGTGGTGGGATTCAAAGAGCAGGTACTGGTGTGTGTGTGTGGGTTACCAGTAACCGTCAATGTCGAGGCTTCTGTCCTTCTCAATGAGCACTGCACAGTTTGTGAATGGTAACCTGGTTTCTTTGGTATCTGCTGTGGTGAACTTGTTTGTGTCTGCTGAGTTGATATGTTCAGTAAAAGATTTTTGACTCGGGTGATTTTTTTTAAACCAGTGGATACGTGTAGTTTCTCTGAAAGAGCTCAAAATTCTGCTTTCCACTTCCTTCGGGTACAGTTTGGTTGCAGTTGTTTCCCCATGAGCTTCATGCTTTGAGAGTAAAAACTCATGAAAAAATAGGGGCTCCTTGGTGGGTCCACTAAGCTTCCAGTAATGCCCATTTCACATTCTAGCCAATGGCTTTACTTCCTGATTGATATAAGTAGAAGTGAAGAAGCTAGCAAATATCCACAGATGTAGTCAATGTTTTAAAATTAAACAGGCAATTAAAAATGCTGATAGATCTGTTTACAATAAAACTGCACCTTCAGGAATAAGGTTTGACTGTGTTTTCTATTTATTTTAGGGTCTGACATAAACATGCGATGGTTAGGATTAGGGGTAAGACACTGCAGTCTTGGGAAATATGGAAATACAAATGTGTGTTGTAGAGAGAAAAATTGGTTTATTATGCTTGAATGAATGATGGCAGGCATCACACAGATTGTAACATAAACTTTACACTGCTCTGTTTGTTGTTGAAAAGCTGAGTCCGCTTCCTTTTTGGCTTCTTTTCTTAGTTTCCCAAATTTTTTTCATATTAACAAGCAAGCAGTTACCATTTTCTAAGTGATAGGGGGCCACAAGTCAGGATACGGTAGGGGGCAGGTAAAGGAAATAGTTTGAAAGTTTTAGTGCTTCAGGAATATTGTGGTCAAAGTTTCTGTGTAAAGTTGTTGTAACTTGACTTGCCTTCCTTAGATCACTGACTGAGACCTTCATTAATCATTTAAAGTGCTCATTTTAAAATATGTCATGTTCTACTAATCTTAAACTAAATCAGTAGACAGTCTTCCTGGACTGACTCAGAGAGAAGCAGGAAATTAGAGCTGATTTTAGCTGGTTTTTCACATGAAGAAAAGGGCTGTCAGGGACCGGTGATGTGAGAGGTTAGGGGCCTTGGAGGGCTCAGCTTCACTGTTTATCAGAGCTTCGCCTGCTCTGTTCTGCTCTGGGCCACAATTAGCAGCATATAAACAAACACACACACACACACGGCAGAGCAGGCTCTCTTTCTGTGTGACAGGAATTGCAATCAGAGCTCTCTTCCACTGAATGACTTAAATCTCTAGCACTGTTAAGATTCATGCCTTTGATCTGTGAAATAATTCTCCTATCTTCAATGCACATTGTGTTCCCTTCCTGCTCTGCAACTCGCTAGATAGCTCATGGTGCTCTATTTTTACATATTAATTCACACAAATGTCTGAAAAATGAGTTTATTGTCTTTCATTGGGTGTTTAGTGTCTGTAACAGCTAGTTTGCTCATTAGCTGTAAGCCTCAAGCTTTTGGCTATCCATCCATTTGAGCAGAGATTTTCCTTGTGCTGTCTCTCGGTCGGGGTTGCTCATGCTGTAGCTGGCAAAGACAGATCATTCCAGTAGATCTATGTTGTTATTTTCCAGAGTCACCCTCTCCGGCTCACTAATTAAAAAGATAAGTTGGCTTTACAGATAACCTGGCATAGATTACCCCCGCTGGCATTTTACATGACAGATGACTAGTAAAAAATAGCTTCTCAGTGGTCTGGCCACCAGAGCAAGAGCAGGCTGGGGTCAGAAGAAGTGCAGACTCTCCGGCTGTGAGCCTTTATGGGCAGTAATTCATAGTCACTTCCCCTACATGCCACTGATATTTGTAAGTGAGAAAGCGTTGATGCCCGTAATGCTGATTTTTCATCAACTTGAAATATTATTTCAAATGCATTCACAGATTCACGCACACTGTCACCGTCTGTCTGTTTCTAATTAGCCTTAAATGGGCACATCAAAGTCAAACCAATCACTAAGAGTAGTTAGCTTGTAAAAAGGTGGTTTAATATCTCTAGAAGCAGCTGAGAAAATAGTCAAATGATGACTCAACTACAGGAAGCAGGACTTTAGGAGAATGAACTGTAGTAAAAACTGGGATGTTTTCTGCTGTTTTGATTTTCATGTTATTGTATTTATTTATTTTAGGAGCCATATCTATTTTTTGATTGTGAGCTACAGTGCTGTGCAAAAATCTCAAACTGGATTTGTTGTTATTAAGGTGGTCTTAAGGAATATTTCTTTCTGAAGGCCTATGCTGAAGATGTTTTTTGGACATTGGCTGCTATGAAGCGCCTTGAGGCGACTTTTGTTGTGATTTGGCGCTATATAAATAAAATTGAATTGAATTGAATTGAATTTTTCACGCCTGACTGTTTTCAGAGGAATGTTGTTTGCTTGTCTTTTTTTTATTTGTGTGTTCAAGCATAAAAAAATGCACCTTACTCAAAGCATGAACTAGTGTTGGACAGTTTAGCAAAAACCCATTTGCTAAACCCATCAAACAAGTTGATTCACACCAAAGCCAAGAACTTGTCATATCACTGCATGGTCTGCAAGTAGAGGACAAAAGAAGAATTGGCAGGCCTTTATAAAACTAACAAACTACAGCCAATGAACAGAAACTAAAAGTCATGTCTTTAAGAAAAATAAAAGAAATCTGACAAGACCTGAAAGATCGAGCTTTGAGCTTTTCAGTCAATCCAGTCTTGATTGCCGTTCACTGAAGCCTTGTTAGAAATGGTCTCAGTGGAAACATGGCTGTCAAGAAGGGAAACAGGGAGAAAAAGCTGAGGTCTGCCAAGTTACACAAAAACTGGACTGAAAATCAGTGGCAACAGGTCTGATGAAGTGATGAATCCAAATTTAAAGCTTTTACTCTGAATCATTGCAAGTATGTCTGGAGGAGGTCAGCAGAGAGGTACAACAGTGAGTGCTTACAGCCATCTGTAAAACATGGTGGAGGCTCTGTCATAGTTTGAGGGCTGGATTATGTAATGGAGTTATTAATGCAGAAAAGTACCGTCAGATTTTGACAGTGAAACACAATGCTGATGCAGTAAAAACATACCTGGATACAAAACACACCGTGGAGCTCCATCAGAGTCCAGACATTATTGAAGCAGTGTGGCATCATTTCTACAAAGAAAATTACATAAAGAAATAGGGCTGGCAGCACTGTGCAAACATATCAGCCTATCAGCAACATTTTTGAATGTCAGTCAGTGATGCTTATCTGTTATTGACTAAATGTTCAAATACGATATAAGAAATAGTTCAAAGAATACAAAACAGTTCAGTTTTATTCCAAGACAAAGATTTCTTTGTACAAATTTTTTGCCTTGTATTAAATTTCTGCATCAAAATATAAATAAGTGATGGGCAGCTCAAGACTTTTGCACAGTACTGTAAAAGAAGAGTGACAGTTTGCCATATATTGTATTGACAGCCAAAGACTACTGCACGGTTTATGGTTGTTTTATCATGTTGTCTTTTTGTTGGATATCAGTTGTATTTTCTAAATCTTCATGGCTTCAGTCGCATACTTGAAGTAATGGAGATTTCTTTTGCTGTAGATGAAGCCAATTTTCCCTCACTTTTGTTAAGTGTCACTCAAGAAGCTTTAACATAACAACCGTGGATGCAAAAAGCAATTTGACTATGTGGATGAAGGCTTGATTTATGAAAACAAAGCATAATCTCACTCCAACTATAAAATCCAGGCATAATAGGACTGGCAGCTGCAGTGGTCAAGTCAATATACAAGTATATACCAAAGGAGCCTTTGATAATTACAGAAACATCTTCCCACACGCTAGATTAATGATAGTTATGGTTTCCTCCACGTCATATAATAATAAATTTTACCAGTTCTCTGTACAGCCTAAGGCCGGCACGCAGAGCAGAGGGGAATTTATTTCAAATCAATCCACAAGATTCAAGGTGAAACAATGTGGAAATCTTAATTTATAGCGCAAGATCCTTGGCGTGTTGCTAAAGGAAAGGTTGTAGCATGCTAGAAGGAAAATCAACAACATCAAGGGCAGGTTGGTATAAGCAGAAAGAGGACCGGGAGGTATTACCTGATGAAATATGTATGGGGTGACGTGATATTGTGACTAGCTTCATCGGTTGTTAATTGGTTATGCCTCATAGGGTTCCCAGTTACAGACAGGGCTTCTCTTGTGCTGTTAATCTACTTCCTTATTCCCAGTCCTTTCTCTTTCATCTCCTTTTTTTAACACTAAATCTTCCTATTCCGTTTCCTCTATTTTGCCCTCCTCCTCTCTTCTTTTTCTTACCCTGTCCCTAACCCTCCGCCTCTGTCCTTCTCCCTTACTCACTGCAGTATGGCATCCATAATGAAGGCCTGTGTTACATAAGAAGCAACAGAGCCATATGGGCTCAGTCAGGAGGTGAGGAGATGCTGTTGAGCAGTGTCATTCTGAATAGACGCCACAGTCACCTGTAAGACAGAGTGGCACATCAAGAGATGTATGTGTGCATATTGTAAATGCCATTAAGACTATAGAAAGAAAATGATGGATAAAATGAAGGAGAGCAGATGGAAGGGAGGAAAAGGGCCCCAGTCCAGGAGACTACTGACAGAGCACACATATGTATACTAATGGACCTCATACCTTCATTCAGGCATGTGACTCATTGCATGCAAACGCCAAGGACTCTGTGTCCTCAAAGGGTCTTGGCAGTGCGCACGCTGGATTGGATGATTTCCTCAATGGAGACGTCACACACACATACTCCAGCTTACAGCCATAGAATATTTACATTGCTGCCTGCATGTGTGAAAATGATCTCAGGAGGATTTGACTAATGTATTATTTACACAGTCATTCATAGTTTATTGTGATTTCACACTAGTTGTGTTTCTCTGAGGCATTTATCTGATAGACTTGAAACTTGGAATAAATGTTTTGACCACTGGTTATGAACACAGTAATGACGCGCCAATATTGTCACCACAAATAAAGTCACATTATCATTCATTTGGAGTCATGTAAGCGCTCTTGGTCATTTGTTTGTGTTCCCTGCGGAAGCTCACTGTATTTTTTTTCGAAAAAGGAACCTTTTAAACGGGAAAATAGCTGCCTACCTGACAGAAAAGTTCACTGCAAGAGCAGTGGGACTGAATTAAAACAATGAAGCTGAAAGCCTGAAAGCAAATAGCAGCAAAAAGCAGTCAGTTATGAACTAGCCAATGAACGAAGTGGAGCATTTATTAGTTGACTAGTCGGGAGTGGTGGCAAAAACAATCTGTCTCCTAATCAGCAACTAAAAAGTTTAAAGTGTTTGTTGGATTCATCTTCTCCCACGACTATAAAATCAGATAATAGAGCTTTTAAAATATATAGCATGAGCTCCACTTCTATCTATTATAAATCAGTTTTGGTTTCACTTTATGCTAAACTCAGTGGTAATAAAGATAAATGTGTTTTTCTTATACTTTCTGTCCACATTTTAATGCAGAAATCAAAATGGAAATCACCTTAATGTGATGGTGCGTTTTATTTTTGGGTTGCTAAGAGTAAATCAGATTGGGAGGAAACCGGCTGCAGCAGGCCAGACTTTTTGTGCCCCTTGAAGGCATTTTTTAGGAATCTGTAGAAAGTCCAACTCCATTATAGCATCAGCCTCTCTGATCTAGTGATCTCGGTTAGACCTCCAGCTAAATATTGCACATCCACTCTCTCATCTTGCTCCCTTTCACCTGCAGGTAAATGTTTAGCGTGCAAGTCTGGGCTGGGAGATTACTCTAAGCTGGATCCTTGTGCATTTATTTTGGCTTTTCAGTTGACTTCTGTCGTGCTTGTCACTCTGTCAAAGGCAGAGCAAATGTAATCTGGTTGAGGGCATGACCGTGTTGCCAACTGTTGAGGCTACTGCCGCCAGACTGGCTCCAAGATTATGTCCGAAAGCATTTTATGTAATTCTTAAAGGGATATGTGTCTTAAGTGGATATTCTGGGCTTGCAAAAACAAACCCAGAAACTAGTTTAGTGTTTGTACGTGAGCATATGATGTGATCCTTAATCTTTTGTAGCAGGGTAACGTGTCACTGTGGGCAGGGGAGGTTTTATTGAACGGTGCAGCTACATCAGTGCTGTTTCATGCAGTTTGTGGACAGTCAGCAGTGTTAGATTGTTATTTCCCTGCCTGGAAACATTTTATTAGCTTTATGCATTATCTCAATGACTTTTTGTCTTGAAGTAAAAGGTTTACAGTGATCGTATAAGGAGGTCAGTATTGATTCTGTCTTTGTAAAGAATGCTGGATTGATTTATGATTTACCATTTACGCAAGTGCTGATTTTGCTTGAGCGTACTTGTACTACTGGTGCTGCGGTTGGTAACATGTTGCATCATTTGAACTTGTAACATGTGAGTGCTGTAGCATGTAGCAGAGAGACAGAAAAGCAGGCAGCTCATTTGTGGAGAGAAGACTAGACGAAGTCCGGATGAGTCAGAGGCTGCTGATATCTCTCACCCGGGGTTATTTTTACACCTCACACAAAGACGAGGATCACAGCTTGGCAGTAGTGTTCGAAAAAGATTAAAATAAAAACTTTTAGCAACTGTCTCCCCACTCGTGTTAGAATCTGTGCTTGATTTCCTCCAGTTTGAAAGCAATTTATCGCTTGTAAAATCTGACATTTTCTTTTATTTCCCTCCTTTGTTCCTTCTGCTAGACCAAACCAGTTGCATTTGCCGTCCGCACAAATGTCAGCTACAGCCCGAGTCACGACGATGATGTCCCTGTGCCAGGCATGGCCGTCTCCTTTGAGGCTAAAGACTTCCTCCATGTCAAAGAGGTGAGCTAGAGGTGTTGTTCAGTACGGTAGTTTGTCGATGCCGTATGGAAAGAAAGATGACGGCAGCAATAAAAAGGAGGATGTTCGAGATGACTTTCTTGAATTTTGTGTATGTGTAGAAGTACAACAATGACTGGTGGATAGGACGCCTGGTGAAAGAAGGCTGTGAAATCGGTTTCATCCCCAGTCCAGTGAAGCTTGAAAACACTCGTATCCTCCAGGAGCAGAGAGCCAAGCAGGGCAAGTTCCACTCCAGGTAAACAGACTCGTGCACACCAAAGTCCTTTGCTTTAGCTTTGAGCTAATTTATTATGAATGTGCACATCATTAGATATTCAATTTTGTTGGCCTAATGTTAAAAATTGTATTTATCATTTCAGTAAATTGGGAGCAAACTCATCATCTAGTTTAGGTGAAGTTGTTCCTAACTCACGGAAATCTACTCCTCCTTCATCTGGTAAGCAGCTTCAGGGGTGAAAGTCCAATTTTGTATTTAATAGATTTGTTAGTATTTTGAATCAACATTTAGTCACTGAAATCCAGCTGTAGGTAAGATGTACGTGTTCCTAACCTCAATAAAATATTATTTCTGCCATAACTGTACTTTTACATGTTTCATGTACTTTCTGTGTAGTACCTACATTCTGTGCTACTTTCAATGTAAATCCTACCCGTTGCCTGTGACCTCCTGTCTTCACCTCCATGTGACGATGCTCTTGTCTGTCTGTGTGGGTAGCCATTGACATAGACGCCACAGGCTTAGACCCCGAGGACAATGAGCTTCCAGTCAACCTGCGCTCCCCTAAAGCCAGTCCAAACACTGTCATGTCACCCCTAGCAAAAGAGAAACGAATGCCCTTCTTTAAGAAGGTAAACTCTACCTGAGCTACCCGACCCTCCCTTCTTCTCTATCCGTCCGCACGGCTCTGACTAAAATGCCTATGGCTGCTCAGCTACACGCAGCGCCCCTCCTGTTTGTCTACACCATCGTCCTTGTCCCTCGGCGTTCACGCCACACTTAGCATGCATGCCTTTTCCTAACCTCTATCTTTTTCCTCTTTCGTCTTGCCACAGCTAAGCAGAAGCAGAAGTCGGTAAGTCTTTGTGTGCACCGCACCAGCACAGCAGGGTGTGGGAATAACCTTCATGGTCTGAGCTGTGAAAAACTCTCAATGCATTTCCTAAGCATAGACTCACCAATGTACTCACACTACTCACCGCTCCTGCCAGCCTGTGTGTTGTGATTGTTTTGTGTGTAAATTTGGGATCTCAGTGTGAACAGCTTGTTTCTTGGTAAGAGCCACAACTGATGAGAAAAGTAATGCCATGGTCCTATCTTTTATCAATAGGAAGCTAGAGTATAAAGGCAAAGAGAATAAAAACAGAAAACAGGAAAAGCCAAGAAATGATGATTGACAAATTAAAGGAAAGCTTGAATCCTAACCTCTCGAGTCAGGAGATATGGATGTTCTGTCAACATCATACGACTACACAGATGAGAGCAATCTTTTCCACGATGATGGGGCCTTCGTCTTCAGGACATGAGGGGTCACTGAATCATTTCATAAGCAAAAAATGGTCCAAATCATATACTGCAGCATTCCAGCTGCACACCTGTGAGAGGCTTTGGATCACCGTCATCACAGTCCAGATAAACAAATGTGCTAAAGCCTCCTCAGGGTGGCTCTGGTGACACATTTGATAAATGACAAAGATTAAAACTAAAGAAACTCCTCTTACATTTCATTTATGTAAGTAAAACATATAATTTAGTTTGATCTTGGTTTTATTTTTAATTCATTGAAGTGTTATTTCAACTTAGTTTTGGTTTAGTTTTAGTTCACTATAACATAATCTGGTCCTCCAGCAGACTAACAGAAACATAGAGACTGCCAAAGCACTCTGAAACCTGTTTTTTTATTTGTAACATATCTGTAGGTCAACATAAAAACCTCATAAAGCAGCAGTTTGTTGTTTTATGCACTTAATATGAATTTAGCAATGAATAATGAATTTATAAGCATTTGTGGTGCTGATGGGCAGCTTTAGAAGAGTTGTATCATTCTTCCCATGAAACTCTCAGCAAGAACTCAGTGGGGCATGTCTTTAGCCATTCTTATGCTTCACTACTCATATTTTTCATTAGTGACAGCTGAAATAAATAAATGCTGTTTGCTGTGGGACTTAAGGATATAGTAGAGCTTGTTTCCCATGATTATAGTGACCATGTAATCTAGAAGTTAGATATGCTACTGAAAGGATTTAAGCTGAGCTACATTGTTCATTGATGGCGTGTTAGTCAGCAGTAGTGTGCATCAGTTCCCACAGCGTCTCTGGGGAAGCTCACTGACGACAGCGAATGCTAGATAGAAAATGTTTAGAGCTGAAGGGATGAGTAAGAGGGAGCAACAGACTGCAACAAGAAAGTCTAAATAAATCGTTTGAAACACTTATCGTAAAGATAGCATAGATCGAAAGAACCGCCCGGACATGAGGACAAATAAGGGATGACTGAGAAAATAATGTCAGCAGTCCTTTTAAGTAGCCAGAGAAAGCAGAAGTAAACCTTCTCTCTGTTTCTCAGCTCAAACACGCTGTTCTTCCAGACAGCGGGACACAGAGGTATGAGGGTCATTGGCTCGCTGTCACAGACCATAATGCATTTCCTCTCTGAAACCACTTGCTAATATTTACAAGGATTAAGAAGACAGTCTTAAAAACATTATACACAAATTGAATTTATAATGCTAATTTCCACTAAAACAGCAAGTTCACTAAAAACACAGATGCAAGAATGTATCAGAAGTTTCCGTAGTTTATAAATGTATTAGAAAAATAATTCGAATAGGGTTGCAAATAAAAGAAAATTCATCTCTATGAATCAACTATTTTTTTTCTTTATTAATATATGCATGTTCACAGTAAATTGTAAAAATACAAATGTATTTGTGTGATTATATCAGTCTAAGATCTCTCATAAACATACCACATGACATTCTGCACTGGAGAGCCTCACAGTCAAACACCCAGCCTTAAATTAACTGTATTTGTGATAATCAAAATCATCTTTATGTTTCTATAATGATTAATTAACTGAATGCACCAGTTCAATCAAAACCATATTTTCAATGCATGTTATTCATGAATGTTCAAACTTACTGTTTTACAAAAAAGCCCCCATTGTAAAACACAATTTTAGTGTTGTTGTTGGTGTTGTTATTATTATTATTATTATTATTATGTAGCTATTTATTTAAATGTTATGCTTGACTGATTCTTATTTTCTTCGAGGATTACGGTGTGCTGGATCAAATTTGGGTATAAAAACATGAATTCAGTTCATTTGCGTCATCAATAACAATATAATTTTTTACATTTCTAAAATATTATATAATAATAGGTGGTCTAATAAATATGCTAAGTGCTGCATGTGCATACTTGCAAGAATTTTTTAAGTGTAATTAAAGGCGTCTTAGAAGGCATCACATAAAAGCATTTTTGCATTTAAAAAAAAAATAACTGTTTATAGTCTGTGCAAAAGTCACATCATGGACCGTGTTGACCTCATAATAAGGTCAGTCTAAGTGTTGATTAGAAACAGGCTGTTCCACAAACTGAGCTCCGTTTTTGTCCGTACAGCAGTGAGCGAGTTTTTCTGTGTCCTAATTTTGTGTTTTCAGTCAAAGCTTTTGTTGATCTACTCGGGCTTCTTTCTCACTCCCTGACTAACCTTTCCTATCATTTAGCTTCCCTTTTATTCAGCGGAATCAGAACCATGACACGAGAGACTCGATCTGACATACATAAATATTTTTCGTTTACGGTAACCTCCTTTGAAGTGTCATCATTAAAGTTTCTGAAGCAAACTGCCAAATCGGTTATAAATCAAAGCTTGTTTGGTTTTTTTCGAACCAGCTCGGACGTCCCGTTTCATGGTTCATAATGTTTCAGTGCTTTTAAAATGTCTACTTCGTTGTTTTTCCACCCCCTTAAGTGATTTGTGATGGTGAGTGTTTACTTGGTCTCCATAAATGTGTAACTGTTTTTCTTCTTCTCTCCTTCTGAAGACGGAGCACATTCCTCCGTACGACGTTGTGCCTTCCATGCGGCCCGTGGTTCTGGTTGGACCGTCACTGAAGGGCTACGAGGTGCATCAAAGCTTCAACTTTCCAAACACAACACTGAATTTTCTTTAGTATTTTCTTTAGTAGTTTAGAAAACCTGACTCATTGACTCTTGTTCTCTCTCCTGAATCTCGTTTGCAGGTGACAGACATGATGCAAAAAGCGCTGTTTGACTTTTTGAAACACAGATTTGAGGGAAGGTAAGCTTCCTGTGACCTTTTTAAAAACACAAGCTCCCATCCCGCTTCCTTCCTCACTCTTCTAAGTCTATAGGCTGGTATTTATCTCTCCCTCGAGGTTAGCTGAGGGAGTGTGTAACAAGTTTGTTTGGCCTGGAGATGTGTGCCGCTGCTTTAAATAGGCCCTCTCCATGTCCTTAATAGGCCATAATGGGCCCTAGAGCAGAGCAGGATTCTCCTTACTCAATGCTGAGTCCATCCTCCCACCCGGAGCAGAGAGGTTTTTTAGTTTAGAAGTTGCACAACACGAAGATCCACTCAGATCATCAGCAGCTGCGGAGAATACCGTTTGATCTGCTGATTTGTTTTAAACAAATTTACACCTGTAAGTAATTCCCTGCTGCTGCTCTCTGACATTTGTCTTTGATTTGGTGTTAGTTTTTCTCAGTTGGTTTGGCACAGTTTTCACATGGCAATCGAGATTCCTACGCCGTGTGCGAGTCTCAAATGCACAGCACATTTTTATATGCGCTCTCTTGTTACTTTGGTACAGAATCCTCAGTGATGGGCTGCAAAAGACATGTTTTTTCATAAGCATACACATGTTATAAATCCTCAAAATGTATAAAATAAATGTTTAAATTATTAAACTTTAATTTATCTTGTGTAAAGTTCGTGTTACTAAAGTTAGTAACATGCCCAAACTCAAATATAAACACATACTGTTCATAGCGCCGTTTCCAGAGTTGTTACAGTTTTGCATGTTCTTTGAGCTGTAGTTATACTTCTAAGTTTTACATGTTTGATTTCTATTCAGTGCAGTTTCGTTTAGTTCCCAGAGTGGATGTGCTCATTTCACTTCAGTTTTTGTGTTTTTCGCTAGCTTTAGTGTTCGTTTTTGTTATTGACATGGGTGGTTTTGCCGGAGTTTCAGAACAAGACGTGACACAGTACAACAAAGCAAACAACTACAGACAACCACAGTCACACAGACATCTCAGTCCCAGTAAACATATGCACCAAAGCCTCGTCAGCCTGACAGCGTTGACACGTTCGACCGAGCCGACAAAGACCTAAACTGAAAACATTTCTCGTATATTTTTTATTTAGTTTTGTAGGGACAAATATTATTTTAGTTAGTTTTATTTCAGTTAATGTTTTTCCAGCAAATACAGATCAGACATTAACAACATCCACATGGTTTTTATGTGGGATACTTTTCCTTTATTTATATAACACAGCAGATAGACAGAGGAAAGAGAGGGGAGGAATGACATGCAGCAGAGCTCCCCGGGTGTTCAACCACTGACTGAGCTGTTAAGGCTCTTTAGCTCATGTGCGTTGTATCTACAAAATCTGGAAAAGTTAGTGAAATCATGCACAGCACTCCTCCAAATGTCTGCAGGGAAGGGTGAGCAGTTGTGATATAGTATCAATATTGACAAACTGTTTGCATTTGATGAACACGATCAATGAAAAACAATACAATACGACTTCATTGTCCACTTAGGGAAATTCGTCAGGGACTGAAGTGCTGTCACAGAAGCTGCCTTTGCAACAAGTCAATAAGCATTAAAAGAAAAGAGAAATAAATAAATAGATGAAGAACATTAGTCTAAAGTATATTTTCTTGGCATTTACCCGTGACAAAAGGTTTGTGCTCGTGTTAAGATGTAATCATTAATGGTGTCCCAGTTGGTTGAACTGTAATGGTAACAAGCCACATTCTTCTTTTAGTAGAACAGGGCTTGTGGATTTTTTTGTTTGACTAACTAGGTCATGGTTTCTCAAAGGAATTGCTGCTGAGTTCTTCAGATGTATTTTTGGAAGCGTTGAGCATCGCAAAGCAAGTGCTGTTCAGCTGCAGTATATTTGGTAGAGAAGCAAACATTTCTACAACCAGTATCTCTAATTCTGGGAAACCAAACGTCAACAAAAACAAGCAGCACTGCACAGCAGAGGTTAAACATGTAGATTTTAATTTAGAGTGAACTGTCCCTTTACCCTGGAGTTCCTGTGTGTAGGACACCACCTTTATGACACGAGAGCCTTTACTTAAAGCAACAATGAAGGGAAGTCTCATTTTAGTCACATATACGCCGATCTGGTATCACATTTTGAACACTGACGGGTGAGGTGAATAACACTGATTATTATCATCATGGCACCTGTTAGTGGGTGGGTGGGATACATTAGGGGAACATTAGGAGACTAAGTCAGAGCAACTCCAAAACTGCAGCTCTTGTGGGCTGTTCCCGGTTAGGGTGGTCAGTATCTATCAAAAGTGATCCGCTTTCCGATCCAACAGACAAGCTATGGTAGCTCAAATTCCTGAAGAAGTTAATGTTGGTTCTGGTAGGAAGGTGTCAGAATACACAATGCATTGCAGTTGTTTAGCTATTTAGCAAAGCAGGGACCAACACACTACTAGCCAGGTGGCCATAATGTCATGCCTGATCGCTGTAGCCTAAATGTTTATAGTGAGCATGATGCAGGGCTTTCAATGACGTGATGATTGCTCTTAATGCTTTGAGAACTGCAGCAGTGTTTTAGGAAATGTGCTCAAGCAGTAGATAAAAACTGCTGCCCTCAGCAACATCTCGTTTTAAGCCCAGATCTACTGATTACTTCTCCCATTTCTCGTGACAGAATATCAATCACTCGAGTCACGGCGGACATCTCTCTTGCCAAACGCTCAGTCCTGAACAATCCCAGCAAGCACGCCATCATCGAACGCTCCAACACACGCTCAAATTTGGGTAAGTTTCTTAGAAAACTCTACGCCTGGGAACATCTGGTGTTTTGATTCATAATGTTTTCAAGGAGACCAGCTTACGTAGCAAAAAGGAAGGAAACGATTAAAGAAACTCTTGACAATGGTAATGATAACTCTAGACGGCCCTGAATGGTCTTGGCTGGCTTCTTTTGTTTGGGATGAAAGATGGAGCGCAAACATGCAGTAATAAGTTCAAGAGCCGCTCTGATTTGACTGAGGTTGATTGGGTTTTAGATGTGATTAGAATGAAACAGATTCCGGAGTCAAACAGAGGTGACAAGGCTAATCTCTGCTATGTATCACCAGAAGCATCAGTCAGCAGCCACAGCAGAGGAAGAAGGCAGGAAAAAGCATAAATTAGAAGCACATCGTGTGTTAAAAGTACAGTTTTTTAATGATTACAGAGAGCCGCCACACTATAACTTTAACTTTGTCCTTCTTCAGAAAACGAAGTCTTTGTCAAACCTACCTTTTCATTTAATATACTAAACATAAAGCTTTTAAAGTTAAGGACCACTCAGGGTGTGTTTTGTCATTCTTTTGTTCTTATTTTGTCTCTCAAAGCTTTTGTTTTCCTGCCAAAAGAGCAAAGAGTTATGCATTTGCTTTCTATGTAATTTAAGGCTTTTTAAGAGAATTTTATCATCAAAAGTGACATTGGCTTGAAACTGTGCTTCAGGAAAAGTTGGAAACACGTGAAACTTGTGACCCTCTGTGGCATTTTTAAGTTGGAAAATGAGATTTTGAATGAGCTGTTAGGCTGGAATGTTTTCATGTTATCTTCAGACTGGCGGGACTGGAAGTCATGGAGCTTGGCCGTGATTTCTCTCCAGACTGGGCCTTCCTGAGTTATTTGTAGGATTGTTTTTGCAGTCACGTCGTCATCTGCTGGAGTAGGAGTTGTGTGATGTAAGAGCTGGTATCTGTTAGAGGTAACCAGTGTTGGTCAAGTTACTTGAAAAAAGTAATCAGTAATTAATTACTGATTACTTCCCCAAAAAAGTAATCCCGTTACTTTACTGATTACTTATTTTCAAAAGTAATTAATTACTTAGTTACTTA